CCGATGATTTGTGTAGCGATTTTGAATCGAGACGCGTCGAAGTAAAATTTCATGGTGACGCATAAGCGCTCGCGTTTGTGGACCGTCCATCTAGCGTAAAGCGTGAAGCCACCTCGCATTCAGGCTTGAACGCCATTGCGGCAGCGTACCGGCGCGAAAACGTTTATTTTCAGTCTACCTTTACAGCAGGCGGAAGGGACGCACATATACACGGGAACGTACACACATATATGTACGTTGCTCGATGCGATTTCGCAACACGCGGTTTCATCCAGGGAGGAATCGACGAATGGAAAATAACGTGTTCCCGGTATCTGCATAAAACATATAGTTTCAATCGTAAAAGCGGTACAATAGGATTAATTCGCTAATCGATATACGAGAGATTAAGTCATTTTAGTCGCTGCATTTATCTGATCGCGCGCCGCCCGAGTTATGCAAAATACCGTTTGGAATAAATTTTATCGAACGCGGAATATTTTGTAATCATCTCTGTATAGAATTGCGACTTTTACATCAGCACGCTTATTTTTGCACATACTTTCTTAAAATGCAAAACAATTATTTTCCTGTTTAAATAGTCTCTACGTTCTTAAAAGTCTTGCTCCAGAATATAACTGTTTATTCAACTTTAGTGGCTTGCTAAATCAATCAAATTAAAGGTATAATCGCACATTATCCTTTTGAATTATATTTGAGTGTTTAAGGCATTCATATCTAAAGTATTTCACAGAAGAGAGATGACGCATCGCCATAAGAAGCGTGCCTCCATCATAGCGCGATATGTTGCGTACCGTCTTATAGTGAGCAATCGGAAATGTAATTCATACACATCGTCCTCTTGTCAGAATTACGTCTTTGCCTTCGTTAGCCTCTATACATAGTTGATATTAAAAGAGCAAATGATAATGTCGAATGAAAGGAATTGCCGAACGTATAGTCTAAATCCTGTAATGCGTCGCGGGTGACCTAGATTCGTGATCGCTGCAACATCACCTTCGTGTCCTTTATCGTGCACGCGGACATCCTGAACAATGAGTATGCGGCTTTAACTCCAGCAGTATAGTTTTCTAATGTAATTACATAGTTCGACTGACATTTGAATGACGAACGTCTCGCGAATCCGCCTCCAACGAGAAGTAATTTTTTTAACTTGAAAAATTGCTGTGTCTTGTTATCTATACTGTTTGAATTTTAATTAGCGAAAAATCTTTCTCTTGTATCATTTTTTTGTAGCATAAATTGAGTGCTCCGAAATTTAGGATCGGGAATATTTTGGAATCTTTTATATACCTGATATTCAGACGAAAGATACTCATGATAAAATGCGGAGACCTTGATTTACATGAAGAGAACACGCAACCAGTAATTTTTTAACTGTACTGGCCATTGAGTTTCGGTCAATTAATCAATTCGCTATCTAACATGACTCAACTGCGAACGTAATGCGACGGAAACATATTTTTATTTATGTCGGAGAAACGCTCGAATCTCTTTCTCTTCAGGATTGGTTAACCGTGGCCTCGAGACATTGTTCAAGGTTCGTTGGCGAGGGTCCACGGTAAAATTATGACGTAATCCTCCGCGAGTCCAGAATGTATATACAAAGGGCGATTAAATATTACCGTATAAAACCGTATAAAACCGGACGATGAACGTAATTCGAGTCAATGAAGTCTTAGCGGTGTTACTATAGATAATACGACAAACTGCTGTTGCAGACTTCGAGGAATTTAAGCGATGCTGCAGCGATCGATTATGTTGCCAATCTTGATTATACGCCGGATTTCGTATTTCGATTGCCATATATAATGATAAGTTATATATATATAATTTTTGATTTAAAACGTGTCTTTGAATGTTAAGCTTTTGGAAAAAAATCGTCATATACGTTAATTAAAGAGAAATTATCATTTCTTAGTCGTACTGCAAAATAAGTGTTATATGTATATATTTTAATTATATTTGTATACATATTCAGCTAATTTGTATATCTCTCTAAAATTGGGCAAGGCAAGAAATAATGATATACGTTTGTGAAACTGTAACATCGCCGACATTCATAGCATATGACATCACGAGATGAGAAGAAATGAAATAATTTGTTTGCCCCGAATTACACTCGGCGAACATAACGTGCCGCTCTTGTCACGACATATTTTTAGAGCGAATAAAAAAACGACTGTTTCCGCACGAAAATACTTGTTAATTAGCGTAAGAATCTCTCGATGTGTGATTTTAATTATAACATATACGTATACACGTATTATGCCTGTGAAAGTATCGTATACTGTAACAAATATTACAAAATTACAGTATGTAAGATTTTATAATTCATGTATTTTTATATATTTCTTTCTACCAGAGTAATTCCACCTACGCGTACAAAATTTATGTAATTCGATGCAAATAAATTGTATGTATTTATGACACGTTGTGTGTCATAAAATATACGTAACTTTGAATATATAGCTATAAAAAAATATATATATATATATATTTAAGTACAAATGTACTTGTTGCAAAAAATGCTTAAACACAAGCGTATAATAGTATTAAATATTCATACAAGATGCGATAGAATTAATATTATATAAAAATGAAGTCAAGGTAAATTTTTTATTCGAATTTGAATAAGAAATTAATTGACACATAATTGAATCGGTTGTTGATTCTTCTCCTCTATGTCATAACCGGTTCCCTATGTCATCCTCAGGTAAGCTGCTTACCTTGTTCAAATTCTGACATCGTGTACCAATTTCTTCTCATCTTCCTCGTTTAAGTGAAATAAAATATTTGAACCTACTACCTCAAATCTAAAGCTATTGAGATAGTTAATGATTGTGTATTTTACTGATATTTTCTACATTGAGGAAGATTGGTCGTTTTAATGACGTAATAATAATCAATGGAAAGAGAAACTGCAATTAACAAAAAGCGGTTTGAACGTTCTCTGACATCCTGTTTGTCCCGTGAAATTATGCGTGCTCACTCGATTTAAAAAATTTTTTGTCTCCCTACACTGAAAAGCAGCGCAGGATCTTCGGTATCGTGAACACGAGCACGTGTATTTCCTATCTACTTGTCTTGCTACCTTCACAGCAGCCTGCGTCCTAGAGTAACCGTGACCTTTGAGTGGTAACAATCGGTCAGTCAGCTCCGTCTTAATAGTCATTTTGCATGTTAATACGCTCGATGTAACGATTTGCGACAAAGGCATTTTTTGCACTCTTGACGCCTCTTCGCATATATGTAAATAGGACCTCATAATAAAAATTGCATGATTCGTAAACATAATATTATGGCGAATGGTTCTGCGCGATTATGAAATATTTAATGAATTATATTTCAAATATCTAGTTATTTTAATTGTTGTCTCTCGTTTATTAAAATAAAATTAGAAAATATCTAAATGTCTTTAGTAATACAAAAAAAATCAAAGGGTTTTTAACAAAATAAAATGTTATATGTAACTAAAAGAGGAAGAACTTTAAATAACATTTCATATGTGAATGATTGTTAATTAATATTGTCACAGATATTAACTATGATACAAAATAAAATAATTTGTTTAAAATCACTGTGCAATGCACCGTTGTCAAAACATTTTCTTATTAAATAAATTATTCGAGCGTTCGATGTTTATTGATTTATTTATTCTCGATTTATTTTTTCTTGAGAGATATTCAGATATTTAAATAATATCCAAAATGAACTGGATAACCATCCAATAAATAATCTTAGATGCAACAATTGCAATTACACTATAAAAAACAAAATTTGTTAACTTGACTAAATCGTTCAACTAAATATTATTTTGTTAATTGAAAATATTTAAATTAAATATATTAAATCTAATAAACGTGTATATATATATATATATATATATGATTTAAATACTAATACATGTTTAATTAACAAAATAATAATTTAGTTGAACGGTTTAGTCAAGTTACAATTTTTTTCAGTGTACTATCGCGTTTATTGTCGGTCTTTTTAAAGTTGTTGGCAAGAAATATTTTAAATGAATTTCGTGAGGAGTATTAAATGCGTGAGTACAATTGTACCAAACCCTCTTTTTGTACTTCACCCACGCAATCGAAATTGCGAACTGACATGCGGCAAAACAGCCAAATGCAAGCCCGTATATACTATTAAATATCATGTATACATACGAAGCCTATTATTTGTTTGATAATACTACTCTCTTCCCTCGTCTCGTGGCCAAAAATACATATGTTCGTGACGAACCAATGCGCAAACCATGCGGCACTTTAAAAACTCGATATTACGTGACACAGCAAATTTTTTTAAATTAAATAATATATATAAGTAATCTTATAAAACTTTGACAATATAATACCACGCGCGAGTAGATATTTCTATGGTATTTATCAAAATGAAATATATTATTTATTATTTATCATGTAATTTTTTATAAACGTGTTTTTTTAACGTTCATTTAACATGCAAGATTGCGGTAAGACATTATCGCATCGAAGAATATTTTTGCGTGTATAAATTAGTGAAATTGAGAGATAAGTATTCAACATCAAAAATAATGTTTCTTCACGTAGATAAAATTGAAGCACTGAGAATGTGATATAAGCCCAAGCAACTAGTTTTATTTTTAAAAAATAATTTTTATCAAAAGCAAAAAGAAAACGCTTTTAAAAACTATATATTAATATTTTTTCTATTTACTGCCTGTGCATTCAAATGAAACAAATATTTACATTATATTTAAACATTAAAAAATAGTGAAGTTTACAAGAGGACAAATCAAGCGCGTTTATTTATAGATCTAATATTGATTAAATAAACTTTGTTTTTCCTCTTACGTCATTTTAAGAGAACACAAAGAAAAGAAATGAAACGTTAAAATCACAGAAGTTCTCTTAATTAGCCTCTTGGAATCGATTTCTTTGAAATTCTAAGGTCTATACCACTCTCGGTGCTTACGATTACAAAGCCTAATGAAAAGTTGGGAGTAAGCTCACCTGTTTCCCGGCGCGCGGTAACGTCTCCACATTCGTGCCGCCGACGACGGGTGCCTTTTCCGGTCCTCCGTTCTGCTGGCTGACGTTTATGTTGGCGTTAACATTGGCGTTAACATTGTTGGCGTTGTCGGTGACGTTCGCGTTCATGTTTGCTCCAGTTGTAACATCGCCGGCGCCGCCACCGCGCTTTCCGTCCTCGCCCGTCATCCTTTGGCCGCTCTGTCGATTCACCCTCTCGTCGTCTCACACCCTCGCCACCGCCCCCGTCACCACCACTGCCACCGTCGTCGTCGTCGTCGTAGTTCTTGTTTCCCCCACTCTGTTGATACTTCCGCTCGTTAATTTCCAACGTTGGTCCACGGTGCGGAATCCCGATATCTGTGCGACCGATCGAATCGATCAGAGAGAAGCGATTGGATCAAAATACAACGCGCGTAACCGATACACGTCATTTACTTCATTGTCAGTTCCCTCGGTTCCCGCACGAGACGTACGAAGCCTATAAGCTTATTGATAGAGCAATCTTGACTTATTAAAAGAAACAGGGCAAATTTTTAAATATGTCGCTCGGAATGCCTTACTATCAATGGAGCAGGCTGTATAATTTTTATCTTAATTTTAGATTTAAAGTGGAAAATTATAAAAACTCTACTTCCGAATGCATAATTATAAAAAGTAAAAATTTCCTCAAGAATGTAAAAAACGATAAAATATCAAGAACGCGTTTCATCGGGCAACCATGGTCGAATTAGTTTGGTTGTTTCTCGAAGAGAACGCTATTTTTAGTCTCCACGAAACGATACGGGTGGTATAACCGTACATGACAAAACGGTTCAAGCACATTGTGATCGTCATTCTACCGTTTGCTATTCGCTGAGAAAAAAAATCGAAGTAGCAAATTTCGTCCAAAGTGTAATATGTATTTATTATCATCAAAAATCACAACATTATGCTCCTTTTTTAGAACACTATGTTACAACTTTTTCTTCTTTTCAAAAGTCTCTTTTCTGTAAAAGCTACTCGTGTTTTGATATTTATCTATCATTTTTCAACAATAAAAGCGAGAACCGACCTTTCCGAGCTTTTGGGCGGGAACGTGAGGTACCTTTGTCCAGAATCGCGAACGCTTCGGCCGAAGAATAAACGAGAAGTTAGCTTCATATCGACGTCGACGACGACGACATTCGTCGCGTGTAATTGCGAATATTCAACGGAGCAAAATAACGAAAGATCGCACAGCTGGTGATCCGCGGGAACCCGAGAAAATGTACGTACGAGCGAGCCTAAACCCGCACACACGGTCGACGGTAGAACCACGGGGAAAATCGATCCGAGCGTGTCCGTTCGAGCACTGCGCGCTTCTCGGAACCGCAGCGATAAAGGCGCGACACGACGCGATGCGACGCGACGTTTCGGCTTTACAACCGTACTCAACTAGATTCAACACTCGAATCGCGATATCGAAAAGTACGATATATGTAGAAAACGTATATCTAGAAAACGTTTCTTACTTTCGTTCGCGCGTAAATTCAGTCCGCTGCTTAATTCACTTTTGCATACATTTATTACGTTTTACTCCAAATGGTCATCCGTATGTTTTCATCTATTTTTATCTCCTTTGTTTATATCCATTCTTGTATGTGTATTTAAAAATAGAGAAAATATGTAGAGCTATGAATATTAATATATTACTTTAGAATATTAGAGATGATACATAAAGTTTTTGTCACATTTTAAATATTAAAAAAACAGAATGATGCGATAATATAATTTAATTAAGAGCAAGACTAATTTTGAAAATAAACGTGAAAATAACTGAATTAAATATAAAAGAAGAGAAATTACAGTTACAAATCTTACAAAATATTATTGGAAAAACTGATGCTCGTAGAAAATCTTTCACCTTGCGATTGACATCGCGGGATAAATTCTTTAATGACAGTAATTTATAAAACGCTTCGAATTATCGGGTCGAACCGGATCGAAGGGGTCGTTGTCCAGTAGGAAACGGGAAAAACTAGCGAACGGTGCAAAAAAATATACGCGATAGTTTACATCCCGCGAGCGCATCCGCAATTATTAAACCAGAATTCCGTTGTCATTTATACGCGTATATATATACATACATATATATATATATATATATATATATATATATGTATTAGCGTCAACGGTACTTGGTCTGGTTCTTCAACACGATACATTTCGCGTGCGATCGATCTCTCGAACTCTTTTTCCCGGCACTTCAGCCGAGTTTGTCGCGGCTCGATGATGCGCGGCGCCTCGAATCCGCACGATTATCGAACGATTACGTACATTCGAACGCCACCCTATGCGAGTATAGAAAGAGACAAAATAAAAGAGGGGAGAGAAAGAGAAAGAAGACACTAACCAGGATTACACGCAGGGTTGCGCACGGCGGATTCCTTCAAGTCCGCTGGATGAACCACCACAATATTTAACGAGACACTTTTCCCATCGAACGCTTCCTTCCCCTCCCTTGTCAAATCACACGGCGGCGCGCCATCGTTTCTCGTTGTGCTGTTCTCTCGTTTCGCTTCTTCACATCGACCGGTCGCCGCGGACACACACAAACACACACGCGTATATACCTTCGTCTCCGCGAATCGCGCGACGAAGAGAGCACTGAGCGTAATGCGACCGCCCTCCCCGACACTCCGCACAGCTTTGACTACTGCGCACGTCCGCGGCGTCCGCGCCGCCGTCGAGGGCGACGCCGCGCTCGTAGCGCCACCTGCCGGTCACGCAATGTTTCAAATTTTTCAAACTGGGCGCGGCAACATAAACGTTTCGCTCTTATCGCTGTTTATACTTTACTTGAATTATAAGATAAAAAGAAATGCAATATTGTTTATCAAGTGTCAGATTGTCCACAATTACATTACATGTAAGAATAATATTATTACAATGTACAAATTCGTAAATAAGATTTATTACGCTTAATAATTGATTTTAATATTATTAATTAGTTATATTAAATATAGCTCCATAAGCGAAATACGATACTTATCATATAATTACACCACATCATGAAAATAAAAATAAAACAGCTAAAATTTAACAATATATACATACTATAAAAGTACATACATGTTTAAGATATACAATATTGTTTAATGTACAAATATAATAAATAAAATTAACTTCACTATCACGCTATTATTACATATAACGTAATATAAAACTTACAATATAAAATTTGATGCAGATCTTAAAAAAGAATATATGTATATATAAAATAATGTGATATCTTTTACATACAAGATTATACTCTTTTGGTTTATTATGACTTTCACAAATAACACGTTTAAAAATGAACAATATACAAATAACACATTTTCTGTAAGGGTGTTGTTAAACAGGTTAATAACGATATTTTCTGTTGTCGCTTATTCATCTTCTTATCAATAATGAAAATATAATGTTAATATTAATATACATTTAATGGAAATATTATATACGTATGTTTTATTATTTTTTAATAAATGATAAAATATGTCATTTACAAGTAGATTCCTATACCCTTAATTCCTGTACAACTGTATATAAAATATTAGCATAGGTAAATCTAATTGAAAATATCATTTGTGTATATTATCATCTTATAGAACAATACCGGTAATTAAAAGATAACATAGAAGATATACTAAAAACAGCTTTAATTAATTCGATATAAAACAAACACGTTTGTAAGAAATTTATTTTAAGACAAAGAATTAGTTTGCAACATTTTTAAAGATATTAATATTACACAAACGATACAACAGACATGTAAGAATGTAGTAGAATGCGAAAATATCTGTTCATAAGCCGTTTATATATTGTATAGAACGTTATGGAACATATGACAAGTTACAGGTGCTTTCACATAGTATCACCCATGTCTTATACATTAAGATAATGAAACATGTGTGCATTTTTTATTTTACATGTATACGCATTAATTGATATAACGCGCATACATTGACTATATAATAAAATACGAATTTGATTATACACATATACATATATAATAAATTTAATTATAACGCATAAAAATTTCTTATCTCTACTAAATTTAAAACAATTCGAGATGCAAGATTTTTAATTTATGTCTGATATTAATTTTCGCATTACTCTATTTGATGTTTATACTACTATCTTTAAACAAAAAATATTTTTAATAATATGCTGCTATATTTCCATTTTTCATTCCTTGCATGCCACTATTACAGCCATCTACATTTGCATGTTTCTCGAGCTGTTTCTTAGTGAAGAAACGTGTACCACAGACATTACACTTTAATTTAGACTGTGTACCATGATGCATCATGGTGTGGAACTCTAAACCTGTCCTGTTAGAAAACAGCTTACCGCAAAAATAACAAGAATTAAGTTTATGTGTAGCCATATGAATGCGCAAACCTCGAATTTTTACAGTCTTTAAGCATATGGTACAAGTTTTTTGATAATCAGTCTTTGGATGTATTTTATAGTTATGATAGGAAAGATTCTTTTCATTCGTATAACTTTTTTTACATTTATGACAGGGAAAACCAAAACCTAAATGATAACCTTCATGTAAAGCTTTGACTCTAAAAGAAATTTTTTCATTACAAAATCTGCAAGACATATTGTTATGTTCCAAATGTATATGTTGTAATCGCGCTTTATCGTTCAAGAATTCTTCAATACATAAGTAACAATGATATGCATTACCAAAATGTTTGACTCTTATATGCTTATCATACTCATTGAAATTAGTTAATACATCTCCACAATAGAAACATAATAACTCTAATGAAAATTCATCAAATGGTTTTCCCACTTTAACAATACACTGATGATTATGGTATGAGTTAATTGTCTGAAACTCTTCATTACAATATCCACATAATGATAATGGATCAAATTTCGTCATACAAACCTCTGTTTTATCGTTCAAATTATCAAACTTTTTTTCAGTATTTCGACATCGTTTATTTGAAGACCGTAACTTTCTCTTATTTTCCTGATGAATTTTCCGACGTTTAATCTTGACATCTTCCTGGTGTATTTCCTGATCTTCAAACTGATTGTTTTTAAGACTATTATTTTCTAGAACGTTTTGACACATTTGTTTCAATGTGCGATTTTTATCAAGAACTTGTTCATTTCTTAAATTTTGTATATTATCTTGCTCCTTTAACATATATCTTTTATCATCTTGCGTAATAATTTGTTTTGATGTATTATTTTTATCAAATTCAATTTGTTCATCATCTTCAACATCAATAATTACATCTTCATCTGTAACATGTAACTTCAAAAAGCTATGATCTTTACTGTAATTAAATAATCCAGAATTATCTGGTCCTTCTCCTCGTTTAGTGAATAAATTAACAGACTCTTTGGTGCGATCAAATCTGTTAAATGTTGACAAATTGTTTTCTTTAAAATAAATTTCAGATTTTTTGAATTTATTTTCATTATTGTCTTTACCAACAATCTCATAAGAATTATTTAGCTTCTTTATCGTTATACTAATACCACTTCCAGAATCACTATTAATACTTGTAGCATGCTGCGATGTTGTATCTTCCTGTTTAAATAATTCACAGCTTTGTTTATGAATGAACAAAGTATGAGGATTTCGAAATAATCTTCCACATACACAAATAAATTCATTATTGTCTGTTTTTCTATTGTAGAGTGCTTGATTAATCTTGGAAACCTTTCTGTTGCGTTTAAATGTTTTACGCTTAGAGTTATTTAATTGTAAATCCTTATTGACACTATTGTTAATGTTGTTTGTAGTTGTATGACTTGATGTGGAAGATTGTAATAATTTGTAATTTTTATTAAATGGTGAATTAAGATATCTACATTTGACATTGTGAAAATTTTCTTTAGTTTCTCCACGAAAAATGTGATTCCGTTGATGTTTGTACAAACTACGATCACTTGCATATATTCCTAAACAAATGTCACATTTGTATGAGGTATCATTTACAGATGCGTGTTCCTGTGTTACTGCAGGCTTATGTCGAGTAAATACATACTCATTATTCTTTTTCTGACTTAACTTAGATCTCTTCTTTGCATTTGTATAAGAAAATGTATATTTTCGTTTTCTCTTAACTTGAGATGTTTTACGAGTATCAGCTTCATTATCCATTATGCGAAATCCATCTTGCGTATTCATCTTATTGTTAGCAGATTGTGGAGATTTCTTAGAGGATATATCTTCTAATGTAGCATTTTTATCTTTAGATGATGCTCCATTCTCAATCAATAATGAAGATTGTAGTTGTTCCACCACACTTGAAGAACCACCAATTTTATGATAATGAATTAAATGTTTTCTTAGAGATATTACTTTCTGTTGACATAATGTGCATTTGACAAACTTCCTTACTGTAGGTCGCGAAGCAACAGTTTCAGTATTAACAAGTTTTGTTTTTGCAGTAATTTTTCCATGTGGATCTTTGTCATTATTAGGATTTTCAAAATTATTACTTTCTTTATTAAGTAAAGTAACTGGATTACCATTGTCGATGTCCTTTTTGTTGGATAAATGTGAATTTTTTTTTACACCTTTACGTCTGACGTATGGAATAATAATCCCATGTACTCTTTCTGTATGGTTTCTTAAGGATCGCATTTCCATGTATTGCTTGCCACATGTAGTGCAAGGATATACTCTTTTTGTTCTTTGGACAGAAAATTTAAAAGGTATTGATGCTGTATTATAACTTCTCAATGTAGATTGGTTCTGTCTTCTATATGATACATGATGTTTAATTTTATTTGAATGTTGTACTTTTTCCTCTTTATCTTCTTCAGTGTCATCATTGATTTCTGCTGGTTTTTTAGTTTGAACAACCTTTATCAATTGTAATGTCTTCCAAATGTTGTCACATCTTTCTAACAAAACAATTGGATTTGTTATCGCTGGTATAGATATTGGAATGTGCAATGTTGAGAGATCAACCTATAATAAAATAAAATACATTATTTCCAAATACATAATTTTTCTAATATTAATATAAAATTAAATAAAGAAAACTCTTTTAGCAGATAGTTAAATTATAATTAAATTTATTTAAGTTAAATTATAATATAACAAAAAATATATACAAAACATATAATCAAAAGATAACCAATATAACCAAAAAATGTTATTTAAATTTTCCCAGTAAAAAAATTAATTACAATTAATTATTTATTTATTGAAAATCATTTATGCAATATCAGCTGTATTAATACAAAATATTTTATTTGATTAAAATGATTAATCAACACAATAAGAAAAGCGCGGCAAAATATAGGTTACCAATTTCGGCAAAAGTAGCTTTTTCAGGTATTCCTTTTTAAAGATATAATAAACACTTGTTAAAAATTAAATATATTTTGATTTTGATGCAACATACACGGTGTATAAAATTGCTCGATATAATAATACTTATTACATAAAATTCTCTCAACTTACAAACTCCGATGGGTCTTCATTAGTCGAATTCAGTATGCTGGAACATGGTTCTGGCTTGCAATGAATTTCGAAATCAATGGGAAGAGGAGGTGATAGTGACGGCGTCGTGTAATCAGTCACATCATTCTTGTCTCCGTGGATGCTGATGTCTGTCATTCCGAGACAGGGTACAATCTGTGAAGACACGTTTTGAGTTTTAGTATTCCAATAACTCGTTGGCACAATGTTGTCTATTCGCAACTCTTAGCCTTGCCAGAGCGTCTTTTTCCCATCTACTAAAAACTCTGCATACCCTTTTTCTCTACACTCTACACTATTCAACACTAGATTGCTATGAGAGCTTGCAATATCCCTTTGTTGCGTTACGATTCTCTATTGTTTTCTCCTCGTACCTACTCGTACTGTGTATATTCACATCCACAACGGACAAAGAGGGACGCATTTGTGCTGAACGTTTTAACCCGGCCCAACCTCAACCACTAGCATGATGGCCACTCGCGAACTGGTGATGCTGCTGAACAGTGCTGGATGCGGTACTGACCCAAAGGGCACCGATGCCATATAACATGATGCAGTAATAAAGCCTTCTTGCTTTGATAACACATACTTTTGTTCAGTTTATGCTTATTAAATTAAATATATTGCCTATAGCAAATATATTTAGGCTTTGATGAAGGAAGAAAGATAGGTACAACATGTGGAGTGTAGAATCAAAGTGCACAAACTGATCCAAATTAATAAGATATTAATTGATTAATCGTCATTCATATTGAATATTTTTTTATAATCACACAATTAGTTGTTTACAACGATCAATTAATTTCATTATTTATAAAAAAACTTTCTTTAATATCCCTAATTTCCATATATCCTGATATCGAGAGATTGTGACATAGTCAATAATTGTTAAATTTTGTTAGAATGAGATGGAAATTAAAATGTTATAATTATTGAAATTAGCAGAATGAGGTTTCCCTAAAAGTATAATTTCTGCATTCTTATATCACATTTTAATTGATAGATTCTACATTATCCTAAAGTCCAGATATCAAATTGTACGAACAAGTTAGCAAAATGTTGATGTAATAGAATTTTTTCAGGTTTTTGTTAGAAATTATTAATGGAATATCGAATAAAAAATTAAGATTATCATTCATGAAAATCATACGATTCGACATATGTGGTGAATCTTGGGTTTTTGTCAGTTGATAGTACACTACCAGTTATACATGCATGTTCCCAAACATTGATTTAAGAGAAGACACTTTATGCAGAGAAAAGAGGCGCTATAGTACGTAGACGTAGATAATCAATAAAGAATTTAACAAAAATACAATTCAATCTTATAAAGCTGTAGATATATTTCAATCTGTCCAAGGTAACTGTTAAGAACAATTTCAATCTGATTGACTTAATCCTTTATTAAAGCAATGTTTCTTATTCAGTTTCGTTTGTTATATAAATTGTATAATTAGATGAATTTTCCATAATTTGTTTAACAATGTTTAAAATCAAGCAGAATTTATTACTGGAAAATTTGCTTAAACAACATAGTTCCATGTTTCAGCTATGTTTAAGCTAGGCAATATATCGTTTAATAGTTATGTACTGTAAATATATATGTAAAAATTGCTAAAAATCTATCACAAAGTTTTATCATGAAATGCTATTAAATACTAATTAAAGGACCAGAGATATATCATCTTGTTTGATTTATAATACTGCCATATCAATATTAGTGGGATAAAACATAGGATAAGGTATTGATCATATCTGTAAGAACTTTGTAAATAATTTCTTCAAATGTACATCATCAAAAACACAAATAAATTATGTAAACGTTACAAATATTCTTACACACAAATCGTTATCTATTTTGTGACTAAAAAATATAGACATTAAAAAACATTTCAGTGGCAAATTTTTAAAAAGTGATGGGCGTTTACAGTTATTGTTCCGTCACTGTATGCTACTATGTGATTGGGTGATGCAGACTCGAGTATCTTGGACGAGTCCATGTTTGGAGATAAGCTAAAATTTTTGTAGAATTTTATATATATTCTATTTTATTTCTTATGTACTATTCGTATATGTATTAATATATAGACAGACTTTCTTTCCTGCGCAATACGATTTATTTATTGAAATGCAATCAGCTGTTATGTAACCATATAACATAACCCAACCACACACATATCCAAGTGTATTGCAGTTTGTACAAAACTTGCGATTCATAGGTATAATATGTATAATATATATAAAAATTATCGTCCTATCGATGCAATTCACTGTACTCTGTACTTATAATATATCTATAATTTATCATTAAAATCATTTACCTGATGCTTTGATGAACCACGATTGATTTGGTACGCTGCTGTATGACGCAGGCAGACTGCATCTGGATTCTGAATGAAGTGTCGTGTAGCGTCGGTGTCCATTGTCTTTGCAGCAGACTCATGCGCACTATAGAGAATTCTTAGACGCTAGACAATGCGTAGTTAAGTAAAAACAGTTTAAAAGACTTTAACATTCGAGAAATATAAAAGCAAAAGATAATAAGAGTTGCAAATGTAGCATTTTCAACCGCTCTGGATGAGTCTACTTTTGTATCTGGCATGGAGCAGACCAAATAGCTTTGTTTCAGCCAATTATGTTTGTAGGGCTAGTACCTGAAAAACTAGCGAGTCTAGAGTGCTAGGTCAAAGAATATAGACAAATATAGAAGCACGGTTTTTGGTAGCTCGGGCAAAGAATATAGATGATCTATATTCTTTGCTATTATGTTACAGCTGTTAGCAGTGCAGTATCATTTGTATTACCTTCGATATTGACAGTACTATTTGGTACTATTATTCTCTGGAATGCAAATGGCTGGGGTACTCACTATATACGCAAGTATCCCAGCTCGTGTAATCCCGGGGTACCGAGAACCGTGCTTCTATACTCATCTATATACTTTGGCTAGGTACTTCACCACCTAAAGTTTCCTATCGATAACAATGTACAAATGGTTGAGAAAAATGCATCTCTTCAAGTTCTAATTTCGGTCTTCCTTCTTGGAACTTTATGCTAATAAGTGCATCAACAATTCTGACAGAATAAATGAATTGTAAATTATATTTTATACCAACTAACATTCTACCGAACATGTTTCATAAGTATATTATATATATTATTGCGCTCAAATATACGCTTATATAATGCACCCCGGGGAATATTCGTAACTACTTGTATATAATTATTTTCCTAATTTACCTCATATCCATATAATTTATTCAAATTTGACATAAACTAAAGTTTAGCTGAACAATAATTATAAAAAAACCTGTATTTCTTATTGTGCTACGTATGTCAATTGTAAATCTTTTATAGAATATTATCAAATTGTTATTTTTCTTGGCTTGCATTGATAGAAGAATAACAATTTAGCACATATTAAATGCAATAATGTTTTTCTAACGTTAGATGCACGGACAAATGCATAATAAAAATGTATAAATTGTGTAAACTATAAGTTTTTAACAGTTCGCAATGCAATTACATTTGATAGCCCGTTTGAGGCTAGCCAGGTCCAACTTATGAGTAATCGCACATATAAGCGTATGTAATTTGTATTCATACGTAACATGATACAATAGCATGGTACTACAGCTGTTGGTTCGCGGAATAAGTGAGTGTCCCTCTTGCTGCACATCACGTGTTATGTATGAATTTGTTGGATTCCCCAGTATAAGTTATATATTATAGAAATAACGCGGAGGTCAACCGTGTAGATCAGGATCAGGACGAACAAGGCTGATGCTATTTAACGATATTATTGCAAGAATATAATTTGATTCCCGATAAAATTGTGATACTAACGAGATCGTCATGCTATGCAACTTCCGTCAGAGGACATATAAAGCCACACGCGCTTCTACCTGCACGCAGAGTGATGTTGTTTGTCCGGTTGCAAAATGCAATCACTTGGCGTATTGCTGTTGCTCCTCACCTGTCAACTCGCCACGCCGATACCAATTTTCGATAGAGGTTGTACATAGTGTAAACAATCGTTTACGTTAACTTGATTGTGTATAGGAGAAAACTGAAAAACCAGTGCAACATTAAGATAATCAATATTAATATTAAACATATTAAACGTAGATTAAGTCTCTGAATCTTTAAAATGATAGATTCAACCTTCTATACTCTTTCTTTCAATTATAATAAAAAGATAGTGATATAATTTCTAATAATAAAATTGTATCGTTGAGTGCATTCAAGTTGTTAACTAAAATTATTCAATATTTTTAATCGACACATTAAATTTGCAAGTATTAATAAGCTTCATAATTAATACAAAATACTTTTTAGTTTTCTACATCATGCCGTTTTGTTTTTAACATTATGAAAATTGGAAACGTTCCATGTTATAATGATTTGAAATTACTCTGTTTTTGTGTGTGCTTGTAGATACATGATAATTAATAAGAACCAATCCTGCTATTATAAAACTTTTGACAATCTATTCAATGCAAGCGTTTATCACAGATGGTACAGCTTTACATAGTGGACATCGATCAGCTGGATTCGGAGAAACAATACGAGATTGGTTCAGAATACTCAAGGATCGAATCGTGGGAAAATGGCAAGAGTGGTTTGGTAATGACGGTCCAACACCGACTTTTTCACCGCAGGATATTTTGAACATCGATAAAACTATAGGAAATAAAATACCGGGTTATCCAGGCTTATTCTTGGATTTGTGTAAGTATATATAATTTCAATCATGTTAAATTTCGAGTTAGAATATGTAGTGTTTCCTTTTAACTCATTACATCATAAGGCTGAAATTCACGTCGAGCTGAATGTTAAATCATGTGTTTATGCTTCGCTACGGAACATAATTGGAAGTATCGTGATTTCGACAGTCGTACAGGAAATGCAATTAACATCGCGTATAGTATCAATTCTTTCCTTAGATCTCTACAGTTGTACAGTTCCAAGCAATTTCTTGAGAAGACGATCTTGATTTAACATTCCTATTATCAATTTTTTATATTAGCTAGCATATCCTTGGACCCAAAACAAGATTGGGGTGTTCGAGTTGGTAACTGGTACATCATCCGGAAAGTTACAGGCAATAACTACAGTCCAGATAGCGATTCAGATGAGTGGGATATGAGACCTCTGATGCCAAATCTCCCATCGCCTCCCATGTTTGGAATCGATTGGACACCTAACGTACGTGAACTCGAGATTCCAGCAGTCACGCAACTTCCAACGACTAGGCCGATTGAATGGACTACACCAAGACAACAGACATCCCAAACTGTTGCACAGACTGAATCAATCTCAACTGAGTCTACTATAAATCTTGCTGAACCGAATCCACTTACCACTCAATCAACTGCAACTTCCGCAGAGCCGATTGCAACATCGACTGATGAAATTCTAACTTCTACTGAATCAATTGTAACAAACAGTGAATCAATTACGATATCTACCGAATCAACCTTAATATCTATGGAAACAACAACGGTTTTTATCGAATCAACTGTTTCGTCCACTGAATCTGTAGTAACTTCCACCGAATCTGCAATAACTACTTCCGAATCTGCAATGACTTCTTCCGAATCTGCGGTGACTTCTACTGAATCAATTATACCATCCAGTGAGACAATGTTGAATTCTACTGAATCAGTTGTAACATCTATCGAATCTACAATAACTGTCACTGAATCACCTGCGGCAACAACCGAAGAAACTGTAATTAGTACTACCACTGAATTACCTATAACATCTACCGAATTAATTTTACCTGTTCTCAATAAGAGAATAGAAGATAACGAGACTGTCAATACACGTTCTACAAAAAAGCCTCGTCCAGCATCTGCTGAAGTTATAATGTTTTAAAACTCGATTTCAAGATTACATTTATGAGATGATTCAATTTTGTTCACTTAATAAATATAAAAATGAGCCTATTGTGAATATACTTCAATGTAATTAATTTGAAAATATTAATATATGACAGGAAAAATTAATAGAAAAAAATAATTTTTACTATACAAAAAAATTATTTCAAAATTGCTTAAATTTTAACATAAATTTAGTATGTATAAAAAGATATATAAGAAAAAATAAAATTTCACGATAGAGTCAGTCATTTGACGTGGAAATAATGTGTGATTTGGATTATTATTTTATAAGGATAATGACGCGTTCATTTAATATAGAAAACAGTATTTTACATTACTTTTTCTAATATAATTAAAATGCGACAATTCAATTTTTATCAAAAAGAATACTTATGTTCACTCCGCAAAATTTATTATAATTACAACTATATTCCATAGTACAATATTATAATAACTTTTACGTCGACGATGATTGAGGTCTTCATAATAGCTCGTGGTTTTACTGTAATATAAAAAAAAATATTTTGTGTCCAAATTAATAGAATATTTCATCTCTTATTTAAATTGTTTAACATGCATAGTAATAAACTTTTATATTTGTTAATATACATATTTAATAAACACACATTTTTCTGTAAAAATATGATATAGCATACATCTTTGAGTAACGCATAAATCATTAATTCAATAAAATAAACATGTTAATTAAATATTAAATATATAATACCCACTAGCATGGCATTAAATATAATTCTATATTAAAACACCTTATTCAAATATTAGTGATTTTTATAATTTTCTTTCATAGGATGCATATATGCATATAGAATGCATATGATACAAAATGTATCTTGAAATAAAATAAAATTTATTACTTTGTTAGAATTGTATACAACTATGTTATAATTGTAATTAATTTATATCAACATTTTTCTTTGTGTAAGAATAATTATAACATTCTAATTATTATTTTTTTTAGAAAAGTTGTTTTTTATAATAAAAATTTAATGTTAATTTAATTTTTGATATTATAACACATTGAACGTAAATTTTGAATTAAGTAGATAGAACAAAATGCAAATACTACTGAATTTCTTTAAATCTACATAATGTATAGCACAATTGTTATCAACATTTAAAGCATAAGCAAATATGTTATTTTTATATAAAAATGTAATAATATATTAACACACTAGGCAGACATATACATTTCTATATATATCTCTATATATGTTATATAAGTGTGTGCACAAATGAAATATATTAGAATTATATGATTAGTGGTTCAACAAATAATTTACAATGATAAAATTATATATATCTATGAGTACCAAAAAATTATCAGTATGTTCATACAATTAGCAAAGAACAAAAGTATTTTGAAACTTAAAGATATGCATGCTAACCCTGATTAAGCAAAAAGATATTCCCTCTCCAGAAATATGTAGTGCAAATGATGATCATTTGTCTACTTCCTTCCCTAGAATGTGAATAATAAGTGTATACTACTATAGCATGCATAATAGATAGATCAGACCAAAGAAAATGTTATTTTTGAGAATTTGCCCATATGATTAATTATTATAAAATTATGTATGCTATTATTGTTTTATTTTTATATATATTTCTTCGATTATCATTCTTATAGTTCTTTAAATATTACACATTATATACAATTGTTTTGTGAGATGAATAAGAAACTATAATATCAATAAAAGTAACAAACTAATTTAACTTTAAAAATCTTGAATTTAAGTTTTTATATAAATATATGTGTAAATTTATCAATAAACTTATTTATTCAATATATTAGTAATTTCATGTAAAGAACATTTTATGAATATACCAATGAAAATATATTAATTTTCATTGAACATGATAATTGATCTATTAGGATTATTTGAATAAAAATTCCCATACCAGATAGAATATACAATTAAAGCCAAAGCTCCTGTCATTTGAAAAATCATTGTTTCAACATGCATAAAGTAAGTTTTTATATCAAGATTTTTAATAAGAAAGAAAAAAAGAAGTATTTTTAAAATTATATATGCATATTCAAGTAAAAGAGCAAGACATATGCTTATACATAATATATATATATATATTTTTTTACATTACTTTACTTACCTTTTTAGATGCAGCTCCTACTTTACTCTTCTTAGTACCTCTAACTTTCTTCATTCTGTTCTTGCGTTCTTTACGCTGTTTTCTGGTTTGCTTTTGTTTTTCAAAAAGACCATGCCTTGCTAACCTATATTTAGGTTCAAATTTCTTTGCAAAGTCCAAAGTGTCATAGATAAGAGCAAATCCAGTAGATTTACCACCGCCAAAATTAGTTTGAAAGCCAAAGACAAAGACAACATCAGGAGTTACTTTGTACATTTTGGCTAATTTTTCACGTATTTCGGTTTTACGAACCGATGGTTGACCAGGATGGATTACGTCCACGACCTATAAAGTGAAAGATGAATCCGTGTATAAATTTGTAATAAATATACATGTATTTGTACATACAATGCTTGCAATCCATATCTCAATTGGATGATAAAAATGTATATTGTTTATACACTCACCATTTGTTTACGGCATAAAAGCCGATTGGTCATGAACTTTCTCGTTCTAATGGTAGCGGTACCTTCAGTCTGTAATCAAAACATGACAATTAAGCAAATTAGGTTATTCATTGTTGAAAGTTTCATATATCTAGTTATATGAAAGAATTTTATATAAATTTTATCGACAAATAATGCAAAACGTTCTGACTAATGTAATTTTTTAAATTATTATTGAATAAGGCGGCTTAAAAGAAAAATTATAAGTAGCTAAATTCATGTATTAGGTTATGTATGTTCGGGCACATTTGCTATTAATATTGAATTTACAATCGGTACTTTTCAAACGTTATATACATGACATATACTTTATCGGACGTCATTATCAAATATTTCATTAAACATTAAACGTTTAATTAAATGATTACAACACAATTTTTCGATACAAACTACATACCATCTTGCTCGGCTAGCGTATCACTTAAGAAAAAGACACACACGGAAATGCGTTCCGCCATCTATGACAACATGACGTCATAGATCTCGACGCGCCTATTTTAAATAACACATACAAAATTTTATATTTAATTTTTATATTTTCGCTACGTTAAAAATCCAGTATAATAAGATTTTCTTTTTCTTGAATACTTTTTATATTTATTATTATATTGCATAAAAACATTAATAAAGAAATAAATAAAATAAACCAACTTCTCTTATATATAATATTAATATATATTAAAACATATACATATATATATTAAAATACATAAATTAAATAATACATATATATAATAATTAAATATAATGTAATATAATGAAAATTAATACATTATTTAATTAAAATACATGAAAATATATTAAAATACTTATATATTATAATACAATTGACATTTATGAGACCGTGTTCTCAAAAATTGTTGATCAAATGTCAGAGATCGCGCAGGAAATAAATGCAGCTTTTTACATCTACCAAAGAATAGAAATCATTCTTTTCCTTCATCGAATTTCAACGATTCGAACTATATTACCAGCAGCGCGCGCTCAAATCTTGTCGATTCTGAAAGAGACCACTGCCGTGTGCGTGGCGCCACCGTTGACGTCATGTCGGCAGCTGATTGGCGCTCGGCCGACGTTGAGCCATCGCTTCCCTAGGAAGTTTCGAGAACGGATACGAAGCAATATTGGTGGGAGACGTGGTCGTTCAGCGCAGTTCAGTTCTTCGTGAAACGTTATCGCTTAGATACGGTATAAAGAACGAACTTGGTGCGAAACGTGCGCGGTCATTCTCCATCGACTCCCGTCTCGCCGTTTACACAGGTAAGTCCTCGCGATAACTCTCGCGGATCTCGTGAATTTTTCATCAGGAGCTTTGACTACGACGACGACAACGACGCGAACCTGGCTGTCGGAGTCGCGCGATCGATCAGTGGCCTTTCGCGATTTTTCTTTCGGCTGGCGAGTCCTCGCACGAGGCGTAGACCCGACTAGAACTTTTCGGAGTCGCCATCGTTTACGGTCCCCCCTCGTGATTTCTTTCGATTTAGCCGCGTTAACAGTTTATTCCGAAACGGAGGGGGCTTGCAGCGGACGGCCGAAGGTTGCAACGATATATCTGCGTGCGAGCGTGAACGTTGAACATTACGAAACGTTACGAATCGTCGAAAGTCGAACGCGAAAGGCGAGTAACTATACATTATAATAACGGGCTCTACAGGAAAAATGGTGGATATCAGCAACTATTAGCATGCTTGCTAGTACTGTCTGACTCGTGTCAATTAATCAACGCGACGAAACATCCGGAGTGAAAGAGGGAGAGGGAAGAAAAATTCGTTTATCATTCTCGCGCGCGAAGGCACACGTGTCTTTTTATATAAATTGCATGTATTTAATCGTATATTTAATAGAATTCTCACGAGCTATTTAGCAATCGCTATGGACTTCGTTATAGAAATTTCGTTACTCAATTTGTACGCTCGATATTAGTTATACATTCGAAGAAGGGTCTAGAAAGTGTAAAGACGTCTCTTTGTTCGGGAGGCGACCACGACGTTGCGCCACGCCACAAATTCGTCTTTTAATTTCTTTCCGAATGCTAATCTATTTAATCGTATATTCTCAGTCTCACCATTTAGACGCCATTTTGAAACTCGCCAGTCCGCATGGACACGTTATATTCCTGAAATTTGCAGGCAAATTTTTCTTGTAAGCTTTGATATTCTTCTTCATATAAATGACGTAACAAAGTTTTTATACGATAATTTTAAAAATGAAACAATTATGTTTGAAATTAGGAAAGAAGAAATTAGCAATATTTTTGCAATATTTGTATTTTGATTTTTACATTTTCAATATTTTCATTCAATATAACAGAAACACAATTTAAAATTATTAAATTCCATTTTATCAGAGACTTGTGTTATTTATAAATTTATATACATTTAGAAATAAATTTGAATATGTGTGTGCTTCAAATGTGTTTAATTTTATTTAAGAAATAATTTTTGCTACTGTATCTAGTATATCTTAAATAATAGAACTTGAATCGCATGCTAAATATTCACAATTCACATAATTGATTCATGGCTATATTATGTACGTATGATCATGATCTGACTATATTTGAATTTGTATGTGTCATGCAAGCTTTGACGTAATTATATAACATTACAAAAAAGGGATGCATTTATCGAAAGACAGAGAGGAATATATGAATTAATTATAAACTAACATGGATGCATACTCGTGCAATTTTTGGTCATACATATGAATTATATCTTGTGTTGTTGCAATACTGAATTGTTGTCATCGATAATATGAATAGAGTATATACAGTCACAATTTATATAGAGTATATACAGTCGTCATACATAATAGTATATCATATTTCCATGATATTACTTTATTAATTGGTCATGGAACACTTGTGTAAATATAATTGTGATAACAATTTGACAATTAATTATGTGCATTTTATTATTAAAAAAATAAAAAAAAAAAAAAAATACATATATGAAAAACAATATGTGTTTTAAGTATTTTTTTAATAAAGAAAGTCATTTATCATTATATCAAACATAAAGTATTTAATATTATTAATGTTTAAAATAGGAGAATTTATTGCAATATAATATCTTTTTTTATTTTATCAGCAGAAGCGAGGTTGTTAAAACAATAACTTGGTTTTAACACATCGTGAAAATGGTTAAGGAGACTACGTTTTATGACGTGTTGGGTGTTAAGCCTGGATGCACGCAAGAAGATTTGAAGAAGGCCTATAGAAAACTTGCTTTGAAATATCATCCTGACAAGAATCCTAACGAGGGCGAAAGGGTTTGTTTTTTAGTTTTCAATTTAAAATTTTTTGCTAATTTGTGTGATAAAATTAAAAATTATAAAATATTGTATATGTTTTAGTTTAAGCAAATTTCTCAAGCATATGAAGTATTATCAAATCCTGAGAAGAAGCGTATCTATGATCAAGGTGGAGAGCAAGCTTTGAAAGAAGGTGGTATGGGCAACAGTGGTTTCTCATCTCCTATGGATATCTTTGACATGTTCTTTGGTGGAGGATTTGGACGAGGTAGGGGAAGAGGTAGAGAGCGCAAGGGTCAAGATGTTATGCATCAATTATCAGTTTCCTTGGAAGAACTTTACAAGGGAACTGTGCGTAAACTTGCTCTGCAAAAGAATGTCATCTGTGAGAAATGTGAAGGTGAGCGTTATATAGAAATAGTAATTGTCTTTATTCGTAGAAAAGATAATTTTCAAACGTCATTTTCTGATTAGGTGTTGGTGGAAAGAAGGGTTCTGTTGAACAATGTACGACGTGTCATGGCTCTGGCCTGCAAGTACAAATTCAGCAATTAGGTCCGGGAATGTTGCAACACTTACAAACTATGTGTTCAGACTGTAAAGGTCAGGGTGAACGTATCAATCCTCGTGACCGTTGCAAGCATTGCAATGGAAGAAAGACCATTAGAGATAGGAAAATCTTGGAGGTCCATGTCGATCCAGGCATGGTAGATGGCCAAAAGATTGTTTTCACTGGTGAAGGTGATCAAGAACCGGATCTAGAACCTGGTGACATAGTTATTCTTCTTGAAGAAAAGGAACACGAAGTATTCAAGTTAGTACTATTACAATTGAATAATTTTATTGCACTTTATTAATATAATTAATCATTGTATTAATATGTTGCGATCAATTACTTTTCAGGCGTTCAAGAAATGATTTGATCATGCGGATGCAACTAGAATTAGTGGAAGCGTTATGTGGATTTCAGAAAGTTATCCGTACTTTGGATGGTAGAGATTTAGTGATAACTTCATTCCCTGGCACTGTAACAAAACACGGAGACTTGAAGTGCATCTTGAACGAGGGCATGCCGATTTATAAGGATCCGTTTACACACGGTAGGCTCATAATACAATTTATAGTCAATTTTCCGAAGAGCATAGAGCCGTCGGTTATTCCGACACTGGAGCAATGTCTACCAGCGAGAGAAGAGGTTATAATTCCGGACAATGCCGAGGAGTGCTTACTCACTGACTTAGATCCTGAGCAGGAGCAGAGGCGGAGAGATACAAGACAGGCGTACGAGGAGGACGAGGGGGGTCCATCGCGCGTACAATGTGCCACACATTAATTTGATTACATTAATCTTGTAATAAACATAGCCATTTCTTTCATTTCGAACTTTCTGTCCCATTCGCTCGATTTCGCGTATCGCGTTAAAGAAGGAAATAACATAGATGGATATATAGGAAAGCTATTCAATACGCAAAAATGAACTTGAAATAATTCATGTCCGGATACGCGCAGAACTGTGAATATATTACAGTTATTGATTCTTCAATCAGCTCCTTACGCGATAATTAGATTAGGTTGCAACTGAATAGATGGATTATCATCATTGTAATGAGAGATAAATCTTCATTATTATGTTGAAAGTAGATAAAAAATATATTTTAAATTCTGGGGAAACATCTCAGTGAAGTCCATCAGTTTTGCTTAAGTAGAGAATCATTAAAAGTATGTACTTATCATTACACAGTGGTAAGTAACTTTATTTAGCGATCTAACGTAATATTTTATGGTACAATCCTGAATTACAAGCTAATTACTATATGCAATACGTCATGTATCTTTTAAACATCATTATTATTCTTCACTATTTGACCAGTTATATCGCTCCAATAATCAGCAACTCAGCAGTGGCTGCTAAATAAAATTAGAGTTAAAATTTATATACATATATTTAGTTGAAATTTGTGAATTATCCATATATGCTTCTGGTTCTCCAAATATTAATAACAGCATTTGATCACTCCACACATTTTGAACGGTTTAAAAATTTTTATTTTTACAGCTTTTTTAGAACATATAAAAGTAATATTGAGATGTGTCAATCGATGTGTAAATGACAAATTTTTAAATATCTAGGTAAAGCTATGATATAACATCGATCGTATCAGAGATCTTCGAAGGGTAAAACATTATTCCATATTCATAGGATATTTAATTTTTTTCCAATCGTTTTTGTATACTGGCGTGAGACGATAATAACGGAAATATACAATTTTGTTTGCGAATAATGCAAATAAAATGGAGAATCAGGTTCCTGTGTGCGTGTGTATGTGTGGACGATTGCGCGTATTCGTAAACAGCTCTGTGCAATTATGTTATTGGATCTAGCAGCTCTTTTCTTTACATTAGCTCATGCTAAGATTTTATTGTATATCCTTATAATAAAATCGATGATTGTAAAATTAGGAAATTATGGAAATTCAAGAGTAAGGATCTTTTATATAACAATCATATATTTATTTCTATAAAAATTTATTCCGTTATTTTTACCGTAACTCCATCAACGCGCATGAACAAATGTTCTAGACAATTTTGAAATCCTATTGTACTATATTAAAGTAATATACTTTTGAAACATACCCCCTACATTCACATAATTTACTGTATACATGGTCGTGTACTCGCAGTTACTATAGTGAATTTTACTAAATAGCAACATATGTCTCTTGTAATCTTATTTATTATAGGAAAAATTGGTGATTGATTAGTACTTTTTTTTTGAACATCTTAAATAAATTCGAAACTGTACACTCTATAAAATATCGATTTTACGCTTTTGCGAGATCTATAACTCCTTGCTTTTTCATCGTATCCGAATATACTTTTGTCCCGTGCAATTTTCCTTAATTTCCTATATTAGTTCATTCTAAATTAACGAAAATTAATTGTACATGATATATTATGATGCTACATTATTTAATTCTTAGTGTTATTAGGCCCAGTTTAGTCTCTAATTTTAAGATGAGAAAATAATTCAACTCTAAATTAAGTTTTATAAGAAAAACGAGAATCTTGAATATCTTATTGTTTCATATACTTATATATATATATTGGCAAAAGAATAATGATCACAATATGAATAATCACAAGTGAGGATAAAAAAATTAACAAGTTAGAGTATGGAGTTACGTTTAAAATTTTTAATAGCTAAAAGCCATTATTATTTGGCAAATTTTATAAATCTTTAATTGTTCCTTTAAATTAATCCATATTTAATTTTTGTATTTATAATGTGTTTACAAGTATTTACAGCTATATTTTTACATCTCTCCGACTTGTGAAAGATCATGCATTCTTTTATCATTACATCGCTGATTTTAGATCGAAGAATAATATATTTTGTATTATATTTTGTAATAATTTTTATAATATATTTTGAAGTGGGCTCGTAAGTGCGACCGCGAGGTTAACTCGCGTCTTCTCCGCTAGATAACGCCACTGTCGCGAAGCGATGCGCTCGGGCCGATGTTTTTAGCGATGTACTTAGTGACGTGCGAGTGGCCCCGAGAGACAGCCGTCGGCTGTCGCAGAGGTTTCTGGGTATGCGGTGGGAGCCATATTTTTCCAATATCAGTTACGCGAAAAACAGCGTAGAGTACGGCACAGCATCTGGCAGGCATGGCATTTTGATCGGCGGTGCCGCGCGGGCTCTGTCTCTCGGTCGGTGGTGAGTGATCGCGCGCGTTACTTCCGCAAGGACAACCCATCGGAATCGGAGGCGCGAGTCGTCGCGAGCGTCGCGCGCGACCGTCACGAGATATATAATAATAATCGACCGACGTATGTATATATAAGCGAGACGTGAGAGAAGCGAGAAGTGAGAGCGCGGACCGCGCAGGTGTTCGGCTCGGCAAAGAGGGTTAGTTAACTTAACCCGAGTTCGTAGTAATAGTAGTAGTGATGATGATAGTGGTGGTAGTAGTAGTAGAGTAATAGTGGTCGTTGGTAGTGGTGGTCGCGGCACGAGGCAGTGGTAATGGTGGTGGTGGTAAAAGAGTGGCGGTGGTGGTGGTGGTGGTCGTGATGCTGCTGCTGCTGCTACTGCTGTGACGATGACACAGCGTCATAACACGACGTTCGTCCGTCCGTGCGCGATTTAACCCGAATCGTTACGCCGGCGGTGTGTATGTTGATTTTTTTTTCGCCCCGTTTCGTACGGCGAGCGCGTTCGCGCCATATTACCGATCGAGCGCCGACTTCAGGCGACTCGAGCCGAGTCGCGTCCGGCGCGATTAAACCGCGTTCAGTCGTTCAGTGTCGAGGGAGATGGCTCGCCGCCCGGTCGCGGGATCGTGACGCTCCGCGAGAATCGTGTGTACGTTCGAATTATATATATATATATATATATATATACATACATATGTATATATATAACGCGACGTGTCGTTTCCTCGTTCGTTCATTCGTTCGTTCCTTCGGCGAGAAAATGCTCCCTACATCCGATGACACAATCGAGTGCGCGTCTTGGAAATGTAACGCGATACGAGACGAAGTGCGGCGTATGTGAGTGAAAGAAACACGACTCGGACCGTTGACACGATCGGTAGTGGTGTGTTGACTCTCGTATTTTCTGTCATCGCGTCCTTCGCATACCGATTTTAGATTCCTCGCGACGCAGTTTTCGCGGAAAGTGCGCGGGTGTGCGATTTCGTGAGCCGTTGCTCGTCGATTTTCGAATTGGTAGGAGGGAAGGGGGAGTTTGGTGGGTGGCGTGGACCGTCACCTTGAATCGTGCTCAAGCGAAACCTTGCGCTCTCTCTCTCTCTCTCTCTCGGAGACGTAATTCCCTCCGATAGACAAGCGGCTCGCCTACGCGCCGCTATGAGAGTTTCGAGTGAACTTGGCGGCAGGAGTGGTCGCGGCGACCTTGCTTACGATCGGAGTGAACATGCCGCGTAACGGCTTCGCGACGCGGCAAAAGGATTCGGCGTTCGGCGTCGTCGGATCATCGCGAGACGACGGGCGTTTTTAGAAGTGAAGGACGTCAGAATTCTCGATGGCGGCATCTCGAATTTCGATCGCGTTCGCGAGTGTCGACGTATCCCGAGCTGCGACATTTTGACGAGCCGTGCATCTACCTTCCAGGGAAGAAGGAGGGGAGACGAAGACGAGGAAAAGAAGGAGAAAACGCAAGGAGTCGTCGAGGAGGTTAGATGAAGAAAGCCATTGACCGGCAGCGACAGAGTTGTCCTACGCCAAAACACGCGTCGGTTTCGAGTTATGTCGCGCTACGTCGAGTGTAGAAACGCGGAGAAACACAACGGGACGCGGAACGACGACGGCATCATCATCATCATCGGCAAACGACATCAAAGGTCATCGTCATCGTCGAGCGCGTGAGGATCGCGCCGCGGAGGATGCGGCAGTACCCGTCGCCGGTGTCTCCACGTAGGCGAGCTACGTGCCACGTTGTGCCAGTGATGTTGTCGTGGGTGTCGTCGGGGTCATCCGCAGCGCTGCTGGACCTGGACAATGGCCGGCAAGCCTGAGCAGCCGTCCACGCTCCCTGCTCCCCCGAGTCATCAGCATCATCAGCAACATCATCAGCAACATCATCAAGGGCAACAATCGCGGCAGTCGCAGCAACCCCAGCAGCAACAAGCTATACAGCAAAACAGCGTTCTAGTGTACGTGTCGGGGGAGAATTTCGCGTACGCCACGGCGGTGGGTCAGAATGTCGCCGCGACCGCTGCTGCCGCTATCGCGGTCGGTTATCAATCGCAGCCGCAGCAGCAGCATCAGCAGCAGACGACGCAATACGCCGGCATTCTGCAGGCGCCGCAGGTGGCGACGGCGCAGGCGGCTGCGACGACCTTTCCCGCCAAAACCGCCGTATACTGCGCCGACGGCAGTGGCGGCGGAGTCAACGTAGGGAATAACGTCGCCAGCCCCGCGATAAGCTGTTGCCGTCTCAAGTCGTCCCTGGAAACGACCGCGTCGACGACCACGACGACGACAACGCCGGCGTCAACGACGGTAAATAGCAGCGCGGATGGCAGCGAGTCCAAGCGAGCCTCTTCCTCTCTGCTCGTCAACGAGGAGGACGAGGAAGACTACGCGATGCTGTATCGACAGGCCAATCTGGGGCAATCGACTACGTGCACCACGGCGGCGATGACGACGATGATGACGTCGCGGGAGAATAAACAAGGCCCGGAGACCGGGGGAGACTCGAGCGATGATCTGATGGGCTCCAAGACGTATCAGACGCGGCTCGGCGACGTGTACTCGGCAAGGATGAGCAGCGGGGACGTCGGTAATCTCCTCGGGGACGACGCTTGCGTCGCTTACGGTGCCTCCACGCCCGGTAGCAACGGTATCGTGCTTCAAAACGGCGAGCAACAGGCTGTGGACGACAAGGGCCGGCAGCAGGACAATTTCGATAATCAGCAGGCCGCTTCCTCGTCGGCGACGAGCGCGACGACGGTTCTCGGGGTCGGTGAGATCGGTAGTGCGGTGATCGGTGCTTGCGATTCGGTGCGATCCGACGAGTCGTCGACGACCTACAGCAGCCTCAGCAGCCCTGACGAGAGTCAGAGTCATCAGCCGGTGCCGATGCCGATGCCGGGACAGCACGACGGTGCTCTGTCGACGAGCAACAATCATCCCGGTGGTGGTAGTGCGTGCGCGCAGCAGGCTGCGCGTCAGCAGCCACCGTTGCGTGTCAACGCTAATAACAATAACGGTAGTAACGGTGTGCAGCATAACGCGGTGGTGTTGACAATGAACGGCAGTGCAGTGATTACGCAGCAGCAACAGCAACAACAGTCGCCGGCGATCACCGTGCCACGTGGATGGAAAAGGATATGCACTAACGGGGTCATCATCTACATAAGGTCAGTTTTCAACGCACGTTGCTATTATTTCAAAACTGGTGGTTCGCAACCCGTCTCGTCTACCTGTCATCGGTATGTCATTAAGTTGGAGCGATTACTTGATTAGCCTCACACGCGAGCACACTGAATTTTCTCTTAGAATTTATCCTGAAAATCATGCTACTCAATAGTTTTATAAGTACCTGATTAATATTTTTATCACAATAAAAATATATATTAATGTAGGGGATTAATGTAGGGTTTCTTTAGGGGGAATAGGGGATACATGGAATTAAAAATCTCTTGTAGAGATTATTCCAATTTATATCTTGGCCGTGTCCAAGTAAAAATTTGGTGCCTTGTGCACAGGTATTTAATTCTAACGAAAAAATTTAGTTTCGTTTAGAATAACGCACTGTCATCCGCGATTTGGCTCTTATTGCCTATCTTATATATGTTAAATTTATATATATTATGTACTTATAGTAACATTATTAATCATATGTAAAATAATATGTCAACTTACGTTTTGTTAGATTTAATTTAATATATTATATTTTAATTTAAATATTTTATGTGTTCAGTTAACAAAATAATATTTAGTTGACATTTTTTTTATAGTTTATGTAATTATATCAAATTAAACATATGTGTAAACATAGGAAAATTAATCGAACATATTTATATCTTATTGTGGTATAGATATTTCTTTTTTTTCGAAAAATTTTAAAATTGTTATGCATTATCTTGTTACGTTTTAATTCTGACGGAGCGAGTTGGTAATCACTGGCCTAATATGCTTGCGTAATATACATACGCCCGAAACGTGGCGTTAATTTCTCGGAACGAGAAATATCCTCGAATTTCTGCTTCTTCCGTTTTTCGGAAACGACTCGAACATATAAAGTTAAGTAGACGCTTTTAATCCGTCTCGACTTAACAAAATAGCACGTCGATTGAAAGTATCGATTTGAAATTAAAGCGCATGCGGCTCTTATTGTTAACTTTAATTTCGCTAATGGAATTAAACTATATCCAATTTAAGTCTACTGTGATAAGTGTGTTATATTCTTTTTGAAACTATAATTGATATATACAAAAGATATATATGATTGATTTACAAAAATTGAAATAATTATACATGCAACTTGATTCAGCATGAAAAATATTGCACTTTAATGTTATTTCATTAAGATTTTATCAAGATTCTGTTTAATGTTTTATAGGTAATTATATTTTTGTACGAAACTGTTCAATCTTATCGAGTTCATATATTTTCGATATCATAATCGAATATAATTTATTTATTATACGCAGGGCCAATAATACTGTCTGCTTAGAATTTCTCCATTATTTTTATAGATATGTAAAAATTGTAATTATACGAAAGTTGTGTAGTATCATACAACTATAATATGCTAATTTTTTTTCTTTTTTCTATGAGTGAAGGCATTTCTAATATTATGAAGAATCAATTTATATCAGAAGATTATGGTGATTCCATTTAAAAAAGTAATGATCCTGAAATCTCAGAAATGCCTGTAACCACAGAATAACTATTACTAGCATATGGCTTCCTTGATACTGTACAACTTTTATACAATATTTTCGTATCTTAAAAAATAACAGAAATATTACAAATGGACAAAGCTATTGATCCATCCTGTATAAATTTGATTGACGTAAGCTATATCTTTTCGTATCTATATAATGCAGTAAATTCGCAAATAAAATTATCCCATAATCTCAGTTGTCGAAAGTTTTTTTAATATCCGCGATCGATTGAAACGCGGAAAACTGAGCGGAAGTGACACGTTATTTGTTTCATTTTACGCTTAAATTCAGCACCAAAATATCACTTCGAGAGAATCGGCAACGCGCGCGCGCATAATTATCTAAATTTAGACCACTCAGCTGTTTGGGAGGATCTTAAAAAGGCCTTTCAAAGTCTTTCCGACTTTTTGTAATCCGACCGCGTGTAAAAAAACACGACTTTTCTCAGAGAACCCGAGGTTTCGGCTTTACATCGCTCGCTCGCTTCCTTTCGTCGCGTGGAAAGCATTAAAAGTCGTCTTCTTCTTACCTAACTCATTGTACTTTTACGGGTCCTTTGAAAAGTTCAAAGGTCACTTTCATCTTCCGTCCCGGCTCTTTTTCCTTTCCGACTGCCTTTATAGAATGATACTTGTCACAGTTTTAGTTTGCGATGGTAAAAATGCAAAGACATGTTTACGTCATAAGTGCACAATGAAAAAAATGTACATGACATTAATGTTATTTGTGGACAAGTGGCATTGATGTAACTTTGAGAATGTTTTCCTCAAAAACAGGATATGACATTTCGTCGTCTAAGCATGAGATGAATTTTTTGTGTAGGGTACAAAAAGTAGAAGAGAAAAAATTAATTAATAAAATTTATATACACACAAAAATTACTATATAATAATATAGTTAATTGATTAAAAGATATTTTTCTTTCCAAAAATATACACATTTATAAATTATCGCACAAAGTAACAAAAGTGCTGAATATAATTTAAAACTCGTCTTTCAATTTATCCTTAATCATTAAAATATTTATCCATTTAAATTAAATCTCTCTGATACTTTGAAATCTCGCTCAAACGTGTCGCGTTTCACATTACGTCGAAGATTGAGAAATTTTCCTCGACAGGGAGGCATGATTGGTAGACAGGCTTATCCTCGACGATCGCGTAATATGATTTAGAGGATCAGCTGCGAGAAGCAGCAACCTTCTCCTTTGTGCGCCGAAAAGACCGCTGATTCTCGGGAGTCAGCACGAGAAACGTAAAGGGCAACGCCTCGTGGCGTAACCGTAGGTATACAAGAGCTGCAGCGTAGGAGATCTGACCTGTTCTGTCTGTCCTAAAACCTCCTCGTTAAAACGATCCTTTCCGGGTTAGCAGGAGTCACGCTTTAAAAAACGTTTAAAGGGCCCGAACAAACAATGCGCTCAGCCTTAAACGAATCTGACTGTGTATGTGTATGCGTGTGGCTCCGACCTTTTTTCGGTCCATCGTATCTCTTCAAACTGAATTAGCGAATCGTGCGATCACTCTTTAGTTTCGCTCGAAATATTATGTGAATTTTTTTTGTATCCTTTTTTGCTAATTATTTCGTATTATGTAATCAAATTTAATCAAAAATTAAAACATGCGTGAAAATGGCTCAACATGTACAATTAAAAAAAATTAGTCACGTGTACAATGAATTCTATACGGAGAGAATTTTTTCTTAGAATTTACCCTGAAAATCATAAGTAATCGTGGGACAATATGGTATTGGAAGAATTTTATGAGTTTCTCTGATTAATATTTACCACAATAAAAAATATTAATATGTACATATAGTAAAATTAATCGAATATATTTCATATCTTATTGTGGTCAATATTAATCGAAGAAATTCTTATAAAATTTTTTCAATACCATATTGTTCCATGATTATCATGATTTTCAGGATAAATTCTAAGAAAAAATTCTTTTTGTGTACATGTATTAGAAAAGTGGGTTACGTATGAAAAATATAAAATTAAAAAAAAAATATACAGACTCAAACAGTATATCATAAGTAGAATATTACATATTTTGTTTAAATGAATTAAATTACAAAAGAAACCAATTTCAAATTAAGTAATGATTTTGCGGTTGAACGTTGTCACTGAAGTTCTGAGTTAAGAATCCGCGATTGATTTGTCGGCATTTTGTTGCTCACGGAGAGCAGCTTTTTCCAGATTCCTTAATGTCATCGATTTTCGTCGAATAGGACTTATCGAAGGATGGTGAAAGGGAGAGAAACGGGCTTTCTCGTGTACAGGAAGCGAAGGAAAGGGAGCGTATAAGCAGGAAGGGACGAAGAATTTCGTTGAATCGCGCGCGCTGCTCGTGCGATCATTGATTTACGGTGGTATCTCGTAAATACCGGCGGTGATGTACGATCGTGACCGCACACACGAGTATCCTATCTCTTTCGGCTCCCTCCTGCCAGGCGCGTCTTCTCTCCTTCTTGTCCACCGACATTTCCTTTATGGAACGAACGGACCTCTTCTTGATTTATAATATGTATCGGTCCCTTGTCTCTCTCTCCGTCCATGCCTCCTAGAGAATGTCTGAGATTTTTAGCTCTTTTGACCATGTCCAAGTCCAGGCGTCCTATCAAACTGCTCGTCCCTTGACTCTGCCGACTGCGACGAATTTTTGTTCTTTTTGTCTCACTTTTGTCCCTTTTCGCCTCTTTCTTTTTTTAACCACACGGTCTTGATCTGTTTGTCCGTTGTGTCAGTTTCTTAAATATGTAGACTATGCCCTGGTTACCTAGAAAGAAATTTGTATTGTTATTGAATCCTTTGATCTGATATGCTCGATCGAAGAAACTTTGAAGAATACAAGGAAAAACGTAAGATTTAACCTAGATATGCTCAAAGTATTTGAAATTGCTATTATTATTAAAATATCTTTAAAATATTTCAAGTAATAAAATGCAAAAGAAATTTTTGTTATTAAGTTTACAAATTAATGTTTTAAAATGATTTTATATACATGTATTTGCCTTTTTCATTTATTTATTAATATAATTCAGTTTATTGAAAATTATTTTATTATTAATACAATTTAATTTATTTTTTACTTTATCGATTTATAATAATTCGTATATTAAATAGCAATATCATAATTGTATTATATACATTTTTATAAACGAGCACACTTGTATGCTCGACGTGTGTCGCTGAATGATATCGATGCGTTGCGTAACGTCATTACTCGGCGGAGCACGTGCAAACGAACGGAAGGTTAAAGCGCGTGATCGGATCCGTTGTCGCCGGACATTTCGAACGAATGGCAATCGGACCATTACGGTCGGTAGCTGGCTCCTAACAGCGGTTACCACTCGGCCAATTCCTTTTACGAATTTCTACACGATTCTGGCGTAACTCGTTGTCGGCTTGCGTAATGACAGCTAATCCGCTACACTCGCGTTCCTATTCTAGTATGATCGTGATA